TGAGGTAAAGAAAAAGAGAGGGCAGTACCTTGAAGTGGACAAGGATAGAGAAAGAGCTTTTGAGGCTACAGGCTAAGGGGAAGATATTAGGGAATTAGGGGCAGAGCAGGGTTGGGAAAGTGTTCTTTCATTCAACATGAAGTAGCTTTCCTAGGAAAGACTTGTTCTCCCCCTGTGCACCTGGGCCTTGAAGTGGCTTGTTATGTGCCAGTCACAGCATTTGCGTAGCTAATGAATGCAATGGAAAGTATTTGCTTGAAAATTCTGTCTATTACTGTGTATAACTGTCATCCTTACCAAATATTTGCTAGTCACCTCTGAGGTGGCTGCCTTTATGCTAATTTTGGAGCCGGTGAGAATGGGGGTTGGGATGGAGTAAGCTTAGAAGCAGAGACTAAGTTTAGAGAAATAAAAATGTAAATAAATGCAAAATCACTGTGGCCTGGGTGAGGCGGCTAGGGAAGGCTTAGAATCACAGATTATTAGAGTTGGGAATTGAAAGGTCTAATTCTGTTAACCCTGCAATTTTGAGAGCAGGTGGTACTTAAACCAAGCTTTGAAAAGCCTGCAGGGTCTTTGAATGAGCTGAGCTCAAGAGGTGGGGGTTGGGGGCAGTAAACAGGTAGCAAAAACCGGGGTGTGTGTGTGTGTGTGTGTGTGTGTGTGTGTGTGTGTGTGTGACAACTGGCTGCCGGTGAGGAGTGAGCATTATTTGCAGGCTTCTTTTCTAGCCTCCCTTTCCCCCTTTTATTTTCACCTGAGTCTGTTGCCTGGCCCGTGTGACCTACGTGTACATGAGGGAGCCTTCCAAATCAGTTATAAAACCTCTTTCATCCAAGGTAATTCTAAGGCACCGTTCCCCACCCCACCCCAGCCCAGGTTCCCGTGGTCACTGGCTTCCTCAAAGCTCACCGCTGTGCCCGCCTTCCCAGGCCCACAGATTCGCCAGTTTCTAAGAAAATAAAGTACTGGGGGAGTTCTTCCGTGTTTGGTTTGGTTCGGAGTGAGGAATTTAATCCGAGTTTTTAGTCAAAAGTATAAAATACATTAAAGACCCGGAAATTACCATTCTGGAAATTCTCGTTCTTTAGGCCTTGAATGCAAATGTGTGCCTTTCTTCTTAGGTTTGAGGTCACTGTGGGCTCCTAAAAATAGTTTAGCAGAAAAAAACACACCCCACAAAACAAAAAGAAACAGCCGCCTCAACATCCTGACTGCACAGCCAGTAGGGAAAACTGAAATACTCAAAGTGTCGAAAATAAACCTCTGAAATCACGTTGCCTACCGTGACACAGCCTCTGCTGCGGGGCGTGCGTGCAGGGGACGCACGCGGGCGGGACAGGCGCGCAGGCTGAGGGGAAACAGCTCGCAGCTGCCAGGACCCCAGGAGCCCGCCCCGCCTCCTGCTGGCGGCTCCAGCTAGGTGGAGGCGGTGCTGGGAGGGGGACCAGCTGCTGGAGGGAGGAGGGGTGTGTGTGTGTGCTGTGGGCCAGGGCAGTCTCCCAGAGTTGAGCGGAGGAGGTCAGACTGGCCTAAGGTTGGGAGAGGGCAGCGCTAGGGCCCAGACTGCAGGAGGCTGCTACTCGGGCTTCCCACAGGGCGGGTGCAGCTGCGTTGAAGCCTCCTTCCTTGGAGGACCGAAGGCCCCTGTGGCACCCGGCACCCGGCACCCTAGCGGTTTCACTGAGGAGATTGGAAGCTTGGCACGATGAGGAGCCGGAGTAACTCGGGGGTTCGGCTGGACGGCTATGCTAGGCTGGTGCATCAGACCATCCTGTGCCATCAGGTAAGTTAAGTGTTATCTGTAATCACTGAAGATGTGTGCAGCGTGATAGCTTGGATGGAGACCCCCGGTGAATATGTATGTGTGTGTGTGTGTGTGTGTGTGTGTGTGTGTGTGTCACCGTTCTTCCCCTCCTGCCAAAGAAAGTAGGGGAACATTTAGTAATTTTAAGACTAGACTATTGTGAAGATCTGAGGTACTTTGCATATACTGTTAATTATATTTTTAATACTTCTTTAATGCTGGTTTATCGTTGGTAGCTCATTCTAACTGGAAAGTTAAAACACTGACTTTCTTTTCAGACTTGTAAGTTTTCAAACAGCTCTTTTCCCCTATTCAAGATAGCATTTGCTTGTACTTGGTCAGAAGAAAGGGGGGTATAATACTCAGGAATAGGGAAGTAGAAATTAGACCAAAGTCCCTAAGTATGCCATTTGATATTGTTTCCTAATATTAACAGCCTATGGATACCTGCCTGTCCTCTTTTTCTTGGCTTTGCAGAATCCAGTGACTGGCTTGCTTCCAGCCAGCTATGATCAGAAAGATGCCTGGGTCCGGGATAATGTGTACAGCATCTTGGCTGTGTGGGGTTTGGGCCTGGCCTATCGGAAGAATGCAGACCGTGATGAGGATAAGGCAAAGGCCTATGAACTGGAGCAGGTACTAAAATAAAAATATAAAGAGATCTGGAGCTGTGTGGTGTATGTGTAGCGGAGGGGGAATTGAAAGAAACATGTAGCCTAGCCCATAGGAATAATAGAACTGTATTTTGCCTTTCTCCCCCCCTTTTTTCACCTTCCTAAAATTACATTCCAAAACTCTTTCCTGTATTGTACTGAATATTTTTGAAGTGGAAACTTGAAACTTGCTGATTCAGGGGAAGTGGGCACAGTCTGTTCTGTTACAGTGGAAAATACTGTCGTGGGATCTGTGCTAAAATGTATATCCTCTTTCTAAGTAAATGTCTTTTGCAGTCTCCAGCATATTTATTCTCATTGAGAAAAATGTTTGGTGGCAGGTATATACCATTTTACTTTATTTTTGAAAATGATAGTGATATTTGTTTGAGGGTGACTGACAAATTGTCAGACCTTACCAACCTGACACAAGTAAAGACTGTTTATTTGTTGATTTTTATACTTATGACCACTGTTTGAGAGCTATGCCTACCCCCTCTTCCCCGGCAAAATCAAGAGTCAACAGATGCCTTTAAGCCAACTTTTACGGCCCTTCCCCTCAATGAAGAAGCATTCTTTATGAAATTGTTTAAACACGGGGTGCTTTGTCCTTTTGAATGGCCAAGAAAACAGTATTCTGGGCTAATAGGAATCTTAATGTTAAGATACTCTGCTGTCAGTTGTAAGTTGCATGTGAATTCTTTTCCAAAGTGGGTAAGATTCTCTCTATACCAGCCATTTTCTCAAGTGGTGTCTCTCAGACTTGGGCAACCTGAGCTCTAGTTTTCTATAGATCAGAACTAGAGGCCTGGTGCGTGAGATTCGTGCACTCAGGGAGTGCGGGGGAGTCCCTCAGCCCAGCCTGAGTCCTTTTGCAGTCCGGGAGCCCTTGGGGGATGTCCAACTGATGGCTTAGGCCCACTCCCCACGGGAAGCAGGCTTAAGCCGAAGTCCGACATCCTTAGCGCTGCTGCGGAGGCGGGCCGCTGCACTCACCAGCTGTCAGTCCTGCTTGTGGCTGAATGGCACTCCCCCTGTGGGAGCGTATGCCCCCTGGTGGTCAGTGCGCATCATAGCGACTGGTCATTCTGCTGTTTGGTTGATTTGCACATTACCCTTTTATTATATAGGATATTGAGATTAAGGGCACCAACATGCTGTGGGTTGCAGTTCTTGGCAATAGGGAAGTTTCATTGTTTTATACTCCACAATAGCAGGCATTTGTTATTCTTTCAAACCATCAATGAGAGGTGCTTAGGCCCACCAGAAAAAAAATTGTTGGAGCTTTTGCTCTAGCCCAGTAAGTACAGATCAATATTTTTATGACTTACATAAATAATATATAACCATTGTATGAATTTGGAAAATTTAGAGAACCGTTAAAAATTACCTGTAATATTATTCTTTCCCCCTCCCAAATCCTATATCCTACTCTAATGTTTTGCTTCATTGATCTCAGTAGTTTATTTTATTTTTAAATTCTTTATTGTTTAAAGTATTACATATGTTTCCTTTTTTCCCCATTAACCCCATTGACCTCTCTATTTTATTTTACTAGAAATTAATATCAGTAGAATAACACCCAATTCCACACTCAGTACAATTTAACCGTTTTTTTAAAAATACTAGTACTATTAGAAGAAATCTTATGTCTTCTTGTCGACTAATCATTCTGCAAAGTTGACATTTTTCCTTAAGTGCCCCAGGTAGAAAGAATTTAATAGAAGAAGGGGAAAATTGAATTGTTCATTCTAAAATTTTAATGCTCTGTTAAATAGTTTTTTATATAACCCCCAAATATTTTCCATATGATAATAACTTTGGAATGTCTCAAAAACATTATGGCAATAGGAAACACATTCTTTGGGAATTGTAAAATTTTAATTTTTTCTCAAACCTGACTCAAAAGTTAATTCAGACCAGGGCTCACAAACCCATCTCTGTAAAGGGCTAGATCAGCCGTGGGCAAACTACGGCCCGCGGGCCGAATCTGGCCCGTTTGAAATGAATAAAAATAAAAAAAAAAAAAAAAAGACCGTACCCTTTTATGTAATGATGTTTACTTTGAATTTATATTAGTTCACACAAACACTCCATCCATGCTTTTGTTCCGGCCCTCCGGTCCAGTTTAAGAACCCATTGTGGCCCTCGAGTCAAAAAGTTTGCCCACCCCTGGGCTAGATAGTAAATATTTTCAGCACTGAGGGTCATATGTGGTGTCTACCCAACTATTCAGTTCTTCCATTAATGAACAAAAGCAGCCAGAGACAATACATAAATGAATGAGCATGGTTATGTTCTAGTAGGCATTTATTTACAAAAATAGGCAGTTAACTATATTTGTCGCTAGTCTACCTCTGGCTGTACAATGGAATGACTTTGGAAGCTTTTTAGGAAATACCATTACTGCAGCTCATCCTAGAACAATTTAGATAAATCTCTTAAAGTGGAGGCGGGGGAGACATGCATATTTTAAATAAACTACCCAAGTTATTCTAAAGTACAGCCAGGGATAATAACCACTTATCTATGGACAATAAATGAGCATAGATTAAATCCAATAAATCCAATGGTTAAATTCCCATCAACTGTCAATTTAAAACAGGTTTTCCAATTACCGTGTGGATTTTCCCAAACCATTGATTATTAACCATTTCTACCCTTCCTTCCAACTCTCACCTTTGTTTAACTCTGAAAAATAATGTCAGAACTAAAGAGAATTCTGGATGAAAAAGGTACAAGGGTTTAGGTGGCAATTCTGTCCTAGATTGAGAATAGAATTATGCACATACATGCTTTTCAAATGTCCTTTTTTCTTAGTCTCATATATATTCACTCACACCCATAAAAATAAATAGTAACACAAATAGAGATTGCTCTGTGGCTGCCTTCAGTTCTACTTCTGGCTCAATTTTATTCTCTTTGTGTAATCTCTTATTTTTTGCCATGACTTTAACTATTACTTTTATGAGAATGACTTCCAAAGCTTCATCTTTAACTCTGACCTCACTTTAATGTCAAACCATGATTTTCATTAGTCTTCTGATCAATTGACCCTGCATATCATGTAGCTTCTCAAACTCATTATGTCTGAAACACCTTCAACAAACAAAATGGACTACCAAACAACAGCAACTCACTAAGCATTGTGTTTTCTCTTATTGTGTCTTCAGTGTACCGGTCACCTGGGCAACATTACTTAGAGCATTTTCCATCATGTGTTCCATGGAACACTAGGTCAGTTAAGTTTGGGGCTATGTTAAACAGCAGATTTCTTTACTCCATAATTTCTCAGAGCCTTTGATACGCTAAAGCATAGTAAAGTGCATTTGGAATCTAAGATAGGAGTGAATTTTACAGCCTTTTAAGAATTTCCTAGACTAGTGTTCTATAAAACAGTGTTCAAAATGCTGTCATTAGGGTGACTTTTGATTGACCTCCTTTGACTTTTGATACATGCAGACCAAAGTCTGTTGATTCTTATAATTTTTCTTGAATCCATCCCCTCCTTTCTTGTCCCTTCTGCCTCAACTCTAGTCTAAACCTTGATCATTTAACACTGTTGTGAAAACCACACTTAAAGTATATTATTTCCACTCTCAACAATCTTTCTGTGGCTCTCATTTCCAATCAAGTAAAATCTAAATGTTTTGGATTGATAGGAAAAACTCTAGAGTTTAGTCCTAGCCAATATTATGTCATGATGGTAACCTGCATTATACTCTCAGTTCCAGCCAGATTGGTATCTTTATTACTTTAACAATTCCTTAATAAAAATACCTGACATTTGTGTAAATACTTTTCATTGTACTATGTACTTCCCCATAATTACTAGCATTTTATTCTCACAACACCCTGTAAGTTAGGTATTATTTTCCAAACTTACAAGTGAAGGGATTGAAGCAGGTTGGGATTTAGTGGTGGTATGAATACAACCTCAGTCTAATGACTTCAGATTGATTGAGTCTTTTTAAAATTTTTCCTACATGGAAGCCACCAAATCTTTTTATGAACTTCTTCCATTGGTAATGCATGTTCCCTTCTAATCTGAGCTAATGGACTCCTTTCAAAGCCCAGCTCCAATCCCACTTTTTCTGTAACTCCTGTCCTCACAGACCACTCAGTGATCATTTCTTTTTCAGGACTATTTTCTTGGGATTTCTGGATTACTTATGGTCTGTGTGGGTTTTTCTTTTTTCCATTTTCAAGTAGAAGATTTTGTGTAATTGTCATGTGCTAGGCCCTGTGATAGATAAAATGGAACAAAATGTTTATATTTAACTCTGAATTTTTATATTTGAAATTTTTAATGTATAGAAAAGTTGTAGGAAGAGTAAACACATTTGCATGTACTCTTTACCTACATTCACTAATTGTTAACATTTTGACATATTCGCATCTTCCTTCTCTTTAAGCATGTGCATGTGCATACCATTTATTTGACAAGTCATTTGAGAGTTACTTGCAGGCATGGAATATATATATGTATATATATATATATATATAT